CTTTGCTAAATATTTTATTTCTATGACACCTCTGGAATGATAAACATTTCCAATAGCACATGGAATTAATGAAAAATCTTAAATTTAAAAAATATTGTTGTAACTGTGACGTATCTGTTCCCCCCTCAGCTATTTTGTAACAGTCCTTAGTGTCCTTTCCTGGGTTCCTTGTTGCTACTGTTTAAAGTCAGGCAAACACCAGGCACAGGAAATACAACAACAAGCTCTAGGTTACACAAAGCATTTTGTGGCCTTTTTATCACTCTGTTTCCCTGAAAATCTTTCTTATAATTTGTAATATGCTACCTTCTAAGTCAATTAAACATACTGGGTTATATTCAGGTTACTTGCTTTGACTCCAGATCTCACTACAAATGCTTTACTTTGCGTGTTCCGGAGGCTGTAACCTGTCCCTGCTTAGCTCCAGAGGACCCCAGAGCACAGCCTGTCTTGAGTTTGTTTTCTGTGAGTTCTCCTGGTGAGCCACTGAATTCTTTCCTCTTACTAAAGTCATGGATCCCACCCAAACCTGCGTTGTCAAGGCCTCATCGCTTTTCAGGGAGAAGCCAAGAAGTACAAAATCCCATGAATATAAGAAGCCTGAGGCCCTGAGATTTGGATGAGGGCTTACGATAAACACGTGGATGTTCTCAGTCCAGAGTGTCCACGTCCTAAATGAAGAAACCAAATTCCGCAGACACCGCGTGCTGGCTGCCCCTCCCGGATGGGGGTGGGGATCCGCTGGACAGGCCACCTGCGCCGTCTGCCCAGCCTGGCCCTGTCTCTGTCGACGTCTGGTCTCATAATCCGACAGCGATGGAATGAGGAACATACTCTGTCCGTGGCAGTCAGAAGGCTGGTGATGGCGTTTTTTGAACGTCCCCGTGGTATATTTAGATACCACATCAGCACACATTAAATGCATTCCCTACTTAATGTAATTTTCATGCAATACTCATGGGTCCGTGGGGCCTGAGATGTGTGTTTACAGAAAGTGACAGGTCATTAGTCCAAGACTCTCCAGACGCGACCTCGGCTGCGGGTGCGCCGACGGCTGTTTCTCAGGACTCTGGCTCCTTGCGCGACCTCTCGTCTGCTTGTCAGCCGAGTGCACTTAATAAACTCAGTGGCTGCCCACCTGCGCCGCCCCCGTGAGCAGCGCCACGGTAACCTGGCTGGAAGTGACAGTGCTTGATGCTGTAATTACGCCCTTCAGTTTTTCTTCTTTCATGAATAATATTTAAATACAGACCCATAAACTGTTCCGTGTGCACCGTGAGGCTTTCTCTTCAGAGGCAGGTGGAACTGGTGGGCTGCACTCTGTAGAGCGCACAGTGTATATGTAGGTGAGGTTGACGAAGTATTAAAAGTATCAAACTGGAAAGGGCTTTAGTGATTATTAAGCTGCAATTTCTTATTTGAGTGAAGCGGCATTTATGGTCTGGAGACATTAAATGATTTGGGCAAAATCACAGACTTCATTAGCGTCTCGTCCAGATGTCAGGCAGGATGTTCAGTGAAGCCGGATTCTCCCCACTGACCGCAGCCTGGCTCCCGGGTTCCCAGCGAACCGGAGCCTGGGCTCCCGTCTGTGACTCTACAGATGCTTAAAACAAGGCAGTTACCACGTGAATTAATACACACAAATGGTTACTAAGCAGCGGGAAACAGCAAGTGCCATAAAAATAAAGTTCGTTCTACACAGGCATTTCCTGAAGTGTTCATAATCGTCTGACCAACAGAAAACGGGCTCCGTAATTGAAGACAATGAGTGTCATGGAAACAGTCTGTAAACGCCTCTCGGACTGTCCTCACCTCAGTCCCTAACTGCATCTTCATCCGGAGACAGTGTCCCCAGGCTGCTGCCACCAAGATGGCCTAGGGATGCTAATAGCACTTACTGTACTGTCCATATCACTCGCCATATTTTAAACGTAATTGAACTAGAAAATTACTTTGGGGCATAAAAAATTAAAAGTGGCATATGGTGGGATCCCAACAATCTAAACGGAGCCGGGCAGCTTCCAGAAGGGGAGGCGAGCAGGCCCCAGTTACCCCCAGAGAGCCCGGAGCAGGGACCTTCTGGACTGACCGTAGGGGTGGGGCTGCCCCCCAAGGACGACACCGTGTGGAACCTGCAGCCCGCCTCCGGCTGTCACACGTGACGTCGGCACTCAGGAGCTGGTACTTTTTTGTTTGTTTCTGTTGTGTCAGTCCTCGCCCAGGATCTTTTCCATTGGCTTTCAGAGAGTGAAAGGGAAGGAGGGACAGAGAGAGCAAGAGAGGGACACGGACGGGTTGCCTCCCGCACGTGCCCGGAGCTCCCCAGAGTGCCCTTAAGAATGCGCAGGACCCGTTGTTTGGGTCAGTGTCACGGCTGGAGGCTTCCTGCAAACCCTCAGTACAAGTCACTGGGGAACGGATTGTATGTCCCTCAGGTCCTGTGCTTGGCTCTGTGGGAACCAGGGGGACGGGGGAGAGACCCCGAAATTCCCCACACACACCAAGAGGCCAGCCCACCATCCGCCTGACTGGGAGCTCAGCTCGCCTGCCCAGAGAAGGGCTGGTCAGTGGGGAGCGGCCTCTCGCATCTTTCCAAATGGCCCTGGCGTCAGGGTCTCTGAACTGAGGAGCCAGACACCTTCAGCTCACTCCCGTTTAGCTTATAAACAGCAGCCATGCTAACGAGGAGAATGTTGAATAATGTTTTATTTTAAATAATAATTAGGGCTTTCTCATAAGAGAATTTTAAGACACTGTTTGAAGGGGTTCAAAGCTGCTTAATTTCAGGCTGTCTCAGAAATAGAGACAATTTTCATAATTCTGTTCTTGAAAGTATAGACCTGTCATTCTCCTCGGCATCTCCAGGAAGCAATTTTCTTTAAAAGGTTAGGGAACCTTTTCTCTGTCTATCATATTTCTCTTCAAAAAGAATCCAGTTTCAAAGAAAAGATGAATATTTTATGTGCTTTTAAAGTCTGTTTTTACTATTAAGAACTGATTTCTTTAATTGTAGATAGCATCTGCTGGAGATGTATATGTATTTATGTCTTTTCTATGAAAATCACAATTTTTAAAAATCTGGCTTGGGGATCATGGTGGCCAACCTCCACAGTGCATTCAGAACAGAAACGACACCTTTCTTTATTGAATTTATTGGGGTGACATTGTTAATAAGTGACACATTCCTAATGGCTGCGTACTCGGGGCGGCACCAGCTCCATGGGGCTTCAGTGGCCCTTTAGGTAACTAAGGCAGTGAGGGGAGAGGAAATCAATAGCTGACAAGGATTTAACACCTCGCTAACCGGCTATTTCGAGCCAGAACTTGCCCTTTTCCATCATGATCGGTCAGCAAGGTGTATTAACCATGTACGTGGTTTAGTCATTAATCCAAGACCAGCTCCAGTTTAAGGAAAACATCACCGGAGCAGGTGCAGAGCAGGGGACACAGGACAGGATCCGTTTGTAACCAGCCCTGCTGCTTCTAAAAGCAAACTCCACCGGGCGTCAGACCCTCAGTCCTCGTGGATCCCGCAAGCAAACACCGTCTCACCCAAGTGAAAGCTGCCGGCACCACCCAGGCACATTGAAACCTAATCACAAACGGAAGAGCGAGGGACCGAAAATGAGTGATCTGGGCCAAACCGGAAGCCATCTGACAGCTTCCCATGAATTTAATTGAAGTTGGGCACATGGCTCTGCAGTGGGGGTGTCAGGGCCAGGGTGTGAGAGGAGGGCTGGGGTCACTTGCGCTGACAAGTGCTTCGATGCCGCGGGGTTAGGTCTTGAGCAGGACACAGCGGTGGTGAGTTCCTTCCAGCGGGAGGGACCAGGAGCTGTGTGCACGAGGGGCAGAGCTTCCATGGGTGGGGACCAGGACACCGTCACCCGTTTGACCTGATGCCAACCGCCCTGTGAATTCTCCCCCTGACATTGACCCCTCCCCGACATTGACCCCTCCCCGACATTGACCCCTCCCCTGACATTGACCCC